GTGACTGTTCGTCTAATCACCTCGAATGTGCATCCACTTTTCAGTCGATATCCCGCCTCATTAATTCTATCGGGATCTGCTATTTTTACTGTTTATTACAACAGAAGCACAAAGAATACCCTAGTTATTCCGACTGTCTTCTGGAATAGCTCTTGACCTCAGGTGCGCCTACTCTGGTGAATAAACTGGCACTGAATCAGGACCTGGTGTCAACAGTCTTTGCTGCGATGATCTCCATGACAACTGCAGCAGGGGTGGCGCTGCACATGCAACACAGAACACCTGACGGATGTGTCAATGGAAGAACAATCGAAAGTGACCGAGGTAAATAGGAGACCAATAGGATGCTGTCTGCAACTTTATCCCATAAGAACCTGGCCAGGTTGGGGCAGAATTTGAGTGGATTTGGCAAGAGAGGAGGTCGGACGTACCACAGGCACCGCAGTCTACGGTTGGCTTAGATGGCGAGTCAAATGGCAAAACCTCACGTGACGTCGAAACGACTGATCTTAGTGGGAAAAGATTAACTTGGAGGATGGAGTGGACTTCCAAACACGATAGCTGCATTCACACGCATATGTAGGGTGAAAGATGGATTAACTGCGCATTTGCTCTTATAGTCAACATGTAGCAGACATGATGAGGCAGTTTCATTTAGAGGTACACGGCGAAAGAATGACTCGACGAGGCACGAGTTCATGTGAGTGTCATGCTAACATAAGCCCCGGGCTAAATTCCACCTTACCTACTACTTTTCTATTTCTCTTTTCAGTCCCAGTACGTCAATTGTAAGATGAATAAAGCCCTGTTATAGGGTATTCTCGTTCTGACTCTTACAGCCATATTCGTTCGTCCTCTCCATCTCGTGTGCTTGCTACGGTCCTAACTACTACAATTTATTCATCTTACAATTCTAAAATGGATCGATTCCTTAAGCCAGAACGATTCGATGCCGATCCAAATGCTCAAGACGCTTCTAAACAGTGGAGTCATTGGTTTCGCACTTTTGAAAACTTCTTGTCCACGATCGATAATCTGAAACCGGATAAATTAAACGTCCTGACTAACTACGTTTCTCCGACAATCTGGGAATACATTAGTGAATGCTCCAGTTATAAAGAAGCTGTTAAATTGCTGCAAGGCCTCTACCTACGACCCAAAAACGAAATTTTCGCCCGCCATCTTCTGGCAACCTACAGACAGGAAGGCGGACAAACCCTTGACCAGTTTGCTCAGAAGCTGAAATCCTTAGCTAAGGACTGTGATTTCAAAGCCGTTACGGCAGAACAAAATCGCGACGATGCCATTAGAGATGCGTTTATCAGTGGCCTTTCATCAAACCAGATTCGGCAGAGGTTATTGGAACAGAAGACTTTGAACTTCCAAACTGCCTTTGATCTGGCAAGGTCACTGGAATTGGCAGAAAGGCAGTCTCTATCGTATCAGAACCCCCCGACGACCTCATTCTCTGCCGCTACCAAGCCACGTGAAGCTTCGTCGAGTCCCATTAAAGAGCCCGATCTAGTGGCTTCTACCTCATTCCCTAGCAAATGTTTCTTTTGTGGATACGAAAAACACCGCCGTTCTATGTGTCCCGCACGCGATGCGTTATGCAAAGGGTGCGGTAAGAAAGGGCACTTTCAAAAGGTGTGCCTAACATCACGAAACCGACAAGCCTCCTCTTCCGCTATGTATCCCACCATTTCCACCGTGGCATCAGCTGCTGTTCCCGAATGTCTTTCAAGAGCAGTGGTTGAATTACAAATAAATGGGACTACTTTTCAGGCCCTAATTGACACAGGCAGTTCTGAAAGTTACATTTCTTCCTCAGTGGTGCTCCGAAATAAGTGGAAGGTTCATAACTCGCACAAAGATATCCATGGCTACCACAGCCTTAACCAGCGCCACACAAGGACACATTTTTGTCACTATTAGATATAATGATATAATATACGAGAAGGTCAAGCTATCCGTCTTGCCGAACTTGTGCGCCGATGTTCTTCTTGGACATGCTTTCCCGTAATTGCTGTGGCGCCCTATTAACCAGTGTGGATTTGAAAGAACTACACGAGTCACTTTGCCATCCCGGTGTCTCTCGACTTTCGCACTTTGTTCGAGCTCGGAATCTCCCCTTTTCGATGGAAGAGATTCGTAATGTCGTCACTAAATGTCAGGCCTGTTGTGATGTCAAACCCCGTTTCTTTAAAACACAAGGCCAACTCATCAAAGCCACTCAGCCGTTCGAACGATTGTCACTCGACTTCAAAGGTCCTCTTCCGTCGGCTACTCACAACCGCTATCTGCTGACGATTATTGATGAATATTCTCGTTTCCCGTTTGCGTTTGCCTGTCCTGATCAGACTGCCGGAACTGTCATTAAATGTTTGTGTCAGCTCTTCTCCATTTTCGGTACTCCGTCGTACATACACACCGACCGGGGATCGTCATTTATGTCGGATGATGTTCAGCAATTCCTTCACAGTAAGGGAGTGGCGACAAGTAGAACAACTCCATACAATCCCCAAGGAAATGGACGGGTTGAACGTCTGAACCAAACTCTATGGAGGACCATCTTGCTTGCTCTGAAATCACAAAATTTGCCCGTCACACACTGGGAATCCGTCTTACTTGATGCTTTACACTCAATTAGATCACTTTTGTGTACCGCCACTAATGCAACGCCTCATGAGAGAATATTTGTCTACAACAGGAGGTCAACTACTGGCACTACTCTCCCCATGTGGCTTACCTCTCCTGGCAGAGTTCTGCTGAAGAAAAGCAATCAACAGTCTAAGTTTGATCCGCTCGTTGAGGAGGTGGAACTACTCCAGTGTAACCCCCAATATGCCCATATACGATTCAGTAATGGCAGAGAAGAAACGGTATCTGTTCGACAGCTTGCTCCCAGCGGTGAAAAGGACGTTGGTGACTGCCACCAGGAGACGGCCACGCCGGTACCAGAAAATCTCTCCCCACTTTCCCCTGACCGCCCACCCATTACCGAGCAAGAAAATAGCACCGTTTCAACTGACGGACAGAATGATGCAACACCTGTTAGCCTTCCAAACGCTGCCGATGTCCGTATGCATAACCTTGAAACATTAACCCAACAACAACGTGTTCACCCATACTGTCTTCGTAACAGAGACGCCTGAACTTTGCCCCATACAAACGTTTCCTATCGATTTTTGACATCTCGATTCTTCCATTTGTTGGCCGGGGTGAATGTCATGCTAACATAAGCCCCGGGCTAAATTCCACCTTACCTACTACTTTTCTATTTCTCTTTTCAGTCCCAGTACGTCAATTGTAAGATGAATAAAGCCCTGTTATAGGGTATTCTAGTTATGACTCTTACAGCCATATTCGTTCGTCCTCTCCATCTCGTGTGCTTGCTACGGTCCTAACTACTACAGTGAGTCGCGAAGGCGTTTCCCACTATACTACTCGGAGTCCAACGGTTTCTACATAGATATTTGTTCGTAACTGCCTCTTACTGGCAAATGCGAGGCTTCGTAACGCTCCGTTTGACGTTGCTATTTAGCAGAACATCAGAAGGAAAATGCGTTCATTCGATAGAGCTCATGTTCAGAAACAAAGAAATGAGCATTTTAGTTTTTACTGCCCTGTCTATAACTTCTGCGAACGACTGTGGAACTCGAAGACAAACAGTAATCAACCGTTTCTCGTCATGTAATCAGGATAGCTCAGTGAGTGCAACAACAACGCACAAAAATGATACTTCACTTTAGTGCCAAGTCACGCTTTTGTGTACGTTAATGCTGAGATTTCTGCCAAAAAAATCACTGACAGAACTCCGGACACAAACAGAAACAACCCAACGCTCATACGCTAATTTGCAAAATTGTGCATCTCTTCAAAAGAAAATTGGGATGCATTTGAAAATATAAAATAGTCAGGGAAAAATCCGAAAGGTTAAGCAAACAAACCTGCGGCAGATGTCGGGATCTGAACGTTTGCACCCTTTGCCGACGCTTCTGATTCAGTGTTAACAGTGGCCTTAACCGACGGCTGTGATACCAAGGCATTTGTTGGTAGTTTTTCGATAGATGGTACGGGGTACTGTATGGCTGAATATGATATATATGAGAACAGAGGTATGCGGTACCGCCAGAGAGAAGTTCTAAACTGATTAGAGCCTCTTTGAGTTCATCAATTTTCGTTCTCAAAGCAGAGTTTGCTTGTTGAAATGAAGCTTCTGCCCTAGCAACATCCTGGGCATCAGCATTTTGAAGACGTTCGATCTTTTGAGAAACCGAACTGGCGAGCTCTTCCAATTTCATGGTGGGAAGCAAGTGTGATTTTCTAGAAAGAACAAATCGAAGTGTACGTAAGACCGGGATATACAGGTGAAGGCAGACCATTAGACAGACATTACAAGAGACCCGGAATGTCGATTACAGAAGAAACATTAGAACCGGCACGGTTTGCTAACACGGTGTCTTTATTTTGTCGACTGTAGTGATCAAAAGGGTTGACAGGGATAAAAACAAGTGCTGGGATGTCTATGGAAGGGACTGAAAGCTTTTAGCGTTATTTTTTGAAGTCATGAGGACGTTATTTTTTTAAGAATTATCTGTATGTAAAAGCATATGACTATCGAAGCTATTTAAGAGAGACAGTAAACAGGGGAAACACTTTGAATGTGTTGAGTGCTACACATAGTGGATGAATAAAGCCGTATTATTACCAAACAAACTACCAGTGAAGAGTCCGCAGACAAAGTTAACTTGTTACCAGCTATATACTCACCTCAAAATACAGCGGCTAGCAGTAGCCAAGAAAGCATGGAAGACGGGCATAAGACTGAAGAAATCTGTTCAATAGGACCAACCTAACGTTTAAAAGGGAGCAAATTCTAGGTAAATTAAAGTATGGAAATCTAACTCCCGAGAAGAACAGAACGTTTTGAAAGTTTCTTGAGTGCAAATATTCCCTGCATTAGGTATTTGGTCAACCGTCGAAAGAACAGAAAATAAGTCTGAAGGATCGCCTCATACGTAAACTACATGCTTAAAGGAACCCGCAAATGATCCCAGTAGGTGACTATGGCGTCGCTGGTGGCATTTGACAGTACAGTGCTATCCATTTCAGTTGGTAACTGAATGTTTTGGTTCCGACTATGATTACCATGGTAGACCAGACAAATGCTGATAATACTTACTGGAACTCGCCTTTAAATGCTGGAAGGACCTGCTGAGAATATCACACGATCTCCCTCTCAAATCTTTGTTGTCTTTTCTGAATGGTTACCCCATCGAGATGGTAACACGACGTTCATGGGGCTTAGTACTAAGGGTAAGCAAAAGGCCTAAATTTACAGGTGACTATTCTGATGGGTGCTTCGAGACCGCCAGTACGCCAAGCTACAGAGGCCTTACGTCTAGAATGCCTAACGGCAGCGACATAAGTGGATGTGAGATGCTATCAGCAAAAAAAGAAGCAGATTACACAGATAACTGCAAACACATCCTTGTCAAAGTTAAATCAGCACATGCTCAACTCTCGCCACGTGGCAAGGTGTCTGGCACTGGTGGCCACAAAGGGCCTGTTGCATATGTCGAACATCTGCAGGGCTGGCAGGACAGCAGCGGACAAGTGATAGGAATTGACAGTTCGGGCAAACGAAACGAGTTTAAACTGTTGGTCCGATAGTTCAGCCTTTTTCTGATTATAAAGTAGCGAATACTGGAACGAATATGAAGTGTATAAAATACGCATAGAGCGAGAAAGGAGAAAATGAACGAATCCTGACCGTTTACAAAAATCCAACGGACCACGCAACAACGCCAGAAGCGCAAAGAGGGCGCGCGATTAAAAACGTGATATGCGGACGGGTTTCAGAGCGCTGAATAGTGATTGGTCAAACGTTTTCATGCAAACCGCGACGACTTCGGGAATTATCTCAAGTTTAAATTTTGTGAAATTATGTTTAAGTGATACTTCCAATCACTGAGAGACCCGGAAGATGTCATTAAAACAAACGGCCAAATGAGAAAGTTGGTCTTATAAGAAGTTATTATATGGTTACCCGCCTTGAAAGTTTCATACAGCTCAAGCGCAATTTACTTAGTTGTTTTGTATAGTTAGCTAGCTAGTCGGGTAGTTAGTATATATACTAACTATAGTTAGTGAGACAGTTAGTCAGTCAGGTTATTTGTTAGTACAATAAGTTCGTGGATTTGCATGGCTAGTTAGTTAGTCGGTTAGGTAGTCAGTTAGTTGGTTAGTTAGTATAGTTAGTTAGTTCGTTAATTAGTATATTAGTTAGTTAGTATTATTATTCCCTAGTAGCAATAGATATCGAGTAGATATACGTGAATAGCGATTTATCGAGATTTGTGTATCTGTCACGTAATTGGCTACCTCGATTGTGCAATCTGCAATTTCATTGGCTGCCGTACTTTAGTTGCCTTATGATTGCGCGCACACGCGGGCGCGCCATTATTTCGCGTGAGCGGCGTAGAACGCGTGACGTGACACTGCTTGCACTTACCTATTATTGTTGATTTAAACCTCTTGTCTGCTGTTTCTGTCTTTACCATGTTTAGGCAGGAATCCAGGAGTACACGATTACGACGTATTAAGAGGTATGGAGACGAGGAGTTCCGGGAAATCGTGGAGGCTGTGAAACGTAGACGAAAATCGCAAAGTCGCCCTTTAAGCACGTTATGTGCCCGCTCAGAACTCTTACAACCTATGCTGGAGGACATGACCAATTCGTCGGCAGAAATTGCTGTCCTGACGACGAATGCAGGAGCGTCTTCGGACGCTGAAAATCGTGAGATCGTAGCCGTTGCCCCGGGCGACATATTCGTCAAACGTTTGCGTGAATGGGCACTGGACTTCAATATTGCACACGCTCCCATAAGAGCCCTGTTGACTATTTCTACGCCGATTGTGCCCCAACTACCGGCAGACCCCAGAACACTCTTGGGAGCGGCTTATGATCTGAAGGTTGCCCCAATGGGTAGCGGTGAGTATGTGCACGTCGGCTTAGAAAGGCAACTACGTAGACTTATAAATAAGAATATAGTAAACCCAGGTTGCGATATAGAGCTTCAGTTAGCCATCGATGGTCTGCCAGTATTCAGAAAGGTAAATACCGAAATGTGCCCAATCTTAGGTAGAATTTCGCGGCCCATTGTCAGTAACATTTTTCCAGTTGGCATTTACTGTGGTACTGGAAAACCATCAGATGTCCATTCATTCTGTAAGTTAATAGTTAGTGAGTTAACAACATTAAGCGAACAAGGGATCAACAGCAGCGACAGCGCCGGACTGCAGACCCGCGTTCGCGTCAGCTCTATTATCTGTGACGCTCCTGCGAGGGCTTTCGTTAAGCAAATCAAGAACGTGAATGCATATAGTAGGTGCGAACGTCGTACAGTAACGGGTGTTTATATGGGTAAAGTAGTGTACCTAGAGAAAGGAGAGAGGGATAGGACGGATGAGGACTTCTTGCACTCTGTGGAGGACGGACACAGAGTCGGAGTGTCTCCATTCCTCTCTTGCAACGTTGGCCTTATTAACCAATTTCCTCTAGATCCCATGCATCTAGTTTACTTGGGTGTAGTGAAACGCTTACTTAGTCTGTGGGTTAGAAATCATCGGTCAAAGGACAGTGGTCGTACGACGCCTTCGATACTGAAGGCCGTGCAGGTAAAGGCTATAGACGATAGGTTGCGTTCTTTAAACGCTTGCCTTCCATCAGAATTTTCACAAAAAGCTAGGTGTTTAAGTGAGTTCGAGTCCTGGAAGGCTACAGAGTTTAGGCAGTTTGTATTGTATCTAGGTCTTGTCGTTCTCCCGGGTATCCTGCTTCTTAATCATTATAAATTGTATTTAATTGAAATTATATAGATAATTAGGGAAGCCACTTACTATCGTTTGCCTATGCAAACAGTGCTCGTGAACCCTACAAACGCACAGGTATTATAGCTATAATAACCTCACTAGGTATTGGTTTGCGAGCACTGGAGGGAAGAAGTGGCCATTACGCTAGCACTTAATTCACCTTATTTCCTTTGCGTTTGTAGATACTATCATGAGCCAACTACCGTACCGCCAACTGCCGGCCCGACAAAGGAGGTCTGCGATTGATGAGGCGATCTACCTACTGGAAGGTGAAGGCATTTCATCGCCAGTAAGTTATGGAAAATAACGCAATCATACCTTTCAGGAGCCGCAGGTGGACGCCGATGATTCATTCGACACCATCCCCGTCGGTGACGACACGTTAACCACAGTGCCGAAAGCCAATGCGCAGGAAGATATCCTGCTGCTCATGTGAAAACACATGCGTGCACAGTCAATGAAACTAGACATTCTGCTGGAGACTGTTCGCAAATTACTCGGCCGTCAGCGGCTGTTAGAATCAATGATTCAACAGCATGCTAAAACCTGGGGACCGGTAGCTTTTCAGCTGCCGAGGAACCCACTCGACCACCACTTACGGTCTGCAGCCGAATTTCGTCATTTGAATGTCCAATTACAGGACAAGAGCTTCCGACAGGAGCTGGTAAGCCACCATATTAATCACACCCTATTGCGTTAGACCTCCTTCCTTACATGCCTTGGTGGGCAGAATATTGACGAATTCGTCAAGCGAATTTTTCTTCGCAGTGTTCGACGAGGAGATCAGCCTTTACGTCAATTTCAAAAGCAGGAAGACGTAAGAGAGCCTCTGCGGTTCTAAACTGTATGAGGTTATACTTGGTAGTCTGCCGTTACAACTATATAACACGCAGAAGTCTTCGGAGCGTGGAATACTGATTCCACCGTAAAGCTGTCTGACCTTGAGTCAGCACTTACGAAGCGGCTGAAGAGGTCGCTGGACAGCTGTGTCCAGAGGCGGAATAAGTCACAAGTGACGTCCAATGACAGTGGTAAATTAACTGTAGTTTTCCAGTAATGGAGTTTAATTTCTAGACACTATACACGGATCATCTACTGATTCCTCGCCTGCGTTACCTATGTGAACACAGAAGGGGTTCAGCATTGTACATATTACTTTTACTTTTTTAATAAACTAATTACAATACAACCGTCTCCAGTGTACCTATGGGTAATAGGGGGGTAATATACATACAACAAGGAATGGATGGGGGCGGAAAAGGGAATTGGAGTAAGCAAACGATTCCACGCGTAGCATATTACCCCCCCATTTCGCCGATAGCGTAGTATCTCGATTAATCGATATCTAATAGATATCTATGGTTGCGTCAAAAGAGATATCTAATCGGTATATATATATATGCTGGAAAACGGGCATCCCAAGAAATTTAATTGAAAATAAGTAAGATTCTTTGGGAAGGGAATAAACTTTAATGAGTAAATTTTTCGAGTCTGGATCCCCAGCTCGTCGTCAGACTT